AAACCTAGGGAATCCGTGGGGGTGGGGGGCTCACCTAGTTGATCTCCTTCCATTTTTAGATGGTTGGTTTAAGTCTAAGAAGGATTATATTAGAGCAATTATGCATGATTCTATAATTATTTGTTTCTTTATTAAGATATCTTGTATAGATCTATAAATAGGGACAAGTTTGTGCAAAAAAATTAATCCTTATCCCTCTCCAATTCTTTGAATTTAGCATATACAATTAAAACTAGCCAGACAATATCAATTTATTAACACTAATATTGTATCGGTGTCAACCTTTTAACATCCAATGTACTCAATTAATATTATTACAAATAATTACTTTATTGCAGTGAACATGTGAGTTATTCAAATATAAATCTGCCCCAAAACCAATGCAAAAATTAATATAAGAAACAATTGCTATAGGAGGCAAAAATTATGTTGGTTAGGTGGCCAGTGGCTTGTTTATGTTGATATGCATAAAATAATATAAGACCCTCTTTCATTTTGTGGATGCATCGAGAAAAAAGATCTTTTAAAACCATTTGCATTGGAGTGATATTCTTCCCAAGTACTGTAGACTCTAGGCATTTACCCAACATAGACAATGTAAGATTCTATACCTAAGCGAAAGTTTTGAGATTATAGGACCATAAAGATTAGCTTTCATTTAGAGACAGGTATTAATAAATTCTGATTTATTTATAAATTAATGCATTGAGCTTTTTTAATAAATAGTGCATTAACTTAAACCTTAATATAATTCAAAATATTTGTAAGAAATAAAGCATTCCATTAAACAATAAAATATAACTCCATATATTTATTATATTAAAACTGTTTTATGTACATACACCCTACAATGTAGACTTGTCTTGAACAATTTGAAAATCAACTTGAACTTTGTGGATGCTGTTGTACTTGAAATTATTTGTATATATAGGTATGATCTAAGTGTTGCTTGAAATAAACATTATGTAACAAATATAGTGTTATGTTATTTTAGACTGAGGGTATAAATGGATGACATGTAGGTATGATCTAAGCAGTTTTTGAGATTCTATGTTGCAATCTCTCACCTTGAAATCATTTTCTTATTGTTGCTTGTGATTCATGTCTTCGTCATTCATCTCAGCATATCCTATGCGCTGATCATGTTTCATCTTTGACTATGATATATTGAAGTATATTGTTGCCATGATGTCAGCTTATGAAATTATGTAAAATTGCATAAGCAATGCAACGTCGTGCTTGCCTTGCAATTAAAATTATTGCAAACATGTCAGCGCTTTAAACTTTTTCCTTTGAATTCCAAATTTTATCTCTACAAATATTATTTTAAGAAATCTAATGGGAAATCAATACATCTTATTCATTTCATCTATAAGACCTCATCTTATTTTATCAAGTTGAAGGTTTATTTTTTTTTTTATTAATTTTTTTTTTGCGGAGAAAGGAATAAGGGGTTTACAAAAAATTACAATTGAATCGTTTCATAACACATCGCTAACCATGGACCAAACATGAGCAAAAAATAGTAGTAGGGCATAATCTCAAAAAATCCAAACAAAGAAAAAATGGAGAATATTTGCCAATTTTTTTCCGTAGAGCCATGCAGCGCTGCGATGCTATACATTAGAGCGCTACAACATTTTACACTTGTGCATTGTTGCGTCGTAGGATGTAGTACGACAGCGTTATCGTCTTGACTTAGAGATAGTGAGTGGAGCGCAGCGACACTCCAGAGCTAGTGTCGTGGTGTTGCAAGTCAGGCTTGTCATAGAAAGTGGAGCAGTGCGATGCTGTAAACGCCTGCGCTACGGTGTTGTGAGTCGGGCTAGGCAGTTTTCTTTCTCGTTTTTATGCTTAATTTGAAGGGTTGCATCCCTTGGTGTAATTTAAGTGTGTCTCTTTGCTTATTTTGTGATGTAAACTAAGAGTGAAGTGAAGTGTGACAAGGAGAAAGGGAGAGAAAGAGATTTCTACGATTTCTCTCAATTTTCATAGTGAGTTTTTAAGTGTGGTGTGGCTTCGTAGTTTTTTCTCGATTTCAGGTTTTTCAACATTAAATCCTGGTGTTCATTTCTACTATTTTATTTTCTTGTTTATTTTGTTGTGTGGCTTTACTTCCGAACATGATAGAGATGAGTTTTAAGCCAACTAGAGAAGGGAGAAGAGGCCAAACAAATGCTGTAAATCACACTTGGAGTGGGATTTTATTGGTTGTGAGCTAGGATTTATAAAATTTTGCTGAATCTAGTATTTAGGATAAGCGTGATTTCAATTTAACTTCGAGCAGTGCTTGTGGGGATTCTTAAATCTTCTACATAAAGTGGCAAACCAAACAACCCTTAGTCCATTCTTAAAATGGCATTATTGGAGTACAACATGGTTTTTGGATGCATATTTATTTATTAGCCTAGCTGCAACTCCCTTAGCTGAGATTAATTTATTTTAAAACATTTTTTTAACTTGTCTCATTTTTTGAATGATTTGGATTGTAATGCTGTTTGTAAATTCTTTCTTTTTTCTTTCATTTGCAAATACAATCTTTTTTCGTTATTTCTTTATTTCGTTACATCTTTTTGCTATTTTTTACTGGCCGCGATATTTTGATTGTACTCGAATTAGTTTTCATCATGATTTTGGTTTTGGTGCTTGCTAGTTTATGAGTTATTGAAGCATTCTTTTGCATGCAATTAGTTGCTGAAGCATGTCGTAGAACAATTCAGTTGTTAATGTCAATTAAAAAGATGATATATACACACACATACATATTAGTATTGTTGCATCCTAGAATATTCATTACGGTAAAGATATATAAAGTTTAGCATCCTAGCTTTGTACGAAGATTCAACACACAAACATATAAAAGATCATGGTGTAATATTCATAAGAGTCACCAAAGTTTTTACATGAAAGACCCTGAAAAGTGAGAAAAACCACGGGGCCTTGCCCAGTTTGAATGAATCCATTAATATTGGTTGTTTATTACAAATGATGCTCTTCCCTGGGAGGAAGACCTTGGTCAATGTAGTAAATACACAATATATATTACTCATTATATGTTGAGAGTTTCAATGGACGAACGATATCAACACTGTTGATTGTAGATCGTTTATCGAGTATTTGAGTGTCTTAATGATGTCATAATTTGACGATCTTAGGCTCGTTGGATTCGTCTCATCGAGCCGCTAGATTCGACTATAAGAATGGCACATTTGGATATCATTCAGTCATCCAGTTAATGTTCTAAAACTTCCAAATAGGCTTTAGGCTTTCGATTTGGATCCATTTGGGTTATGATTGGACAAATTTTGATGTTGTTGGGTTCGTCTCTTTGAGACATTCAGCTTGGCCATTAGTTTGCTGAAATTGGACTTCAGATGGTCATGGATTTAATTTTGAAAGTTTTCGATTTATATTTGCATCGAGGTTCGTACTCGATCTTGGCTATTTTTGGTGATGTATCAAGTATGGACATGGCATATCTCTTGCACCAGTTTTTTTAAGTGAATTTCCGCTCTATTGGCCTGGATTATATATTTTTTATTAAATTTTCTCTTTTCACTCGTTTGTGTGCTTTTGTTCGTAACGCCTTTTGTTAATTATAACCTGCTGTCTTTATTTATCCTTTTTAATATCTCCAAGTTATTGTTTTCTAGCAGCTGTATTTTGCATATCATGATTTTTCAAAGTTATTTTACTATTTTTAATGAGTTGTTATTTAGTAACGTTGTGTTACTAAAGGATGCTCATGCTTATTTTTGCTGAAGCATGCTATCAGTTTATTAATTACTTGAGGCCAATATATGCGTACTTATCAAGATGAAATATTGTCCATCATTCGTTTACATTATTAGCGAGCAGACTTGATTTGTAATACATATTAGCTTATCTGCAAAGATGGATTTGGTTTCAGGTATTGAAGTTAAACCCGGACAGACGGTCAAGTGTGAAGCAGGGGATAGAAGTATCGTGCATCTTTCGCAGGTTTCTTTAAATTTTAATTTGTCTTGAGAGATTCTATAGCACTTTTCTTATTTTATCCAAGGCTCTTATGACGCAGGCTTCGCTTGGTGTAACTAAGAAGGAAAAAGGGGCTGAAAATGTCCCAATCTTTCTCAAGATTGATGATCAGAAGCTAGTCATTGGAACCCTTTCCATAGATAAATGTGCTCAAATTCACTATGATCTTGTATTTGATAAGGAATTTGAGTTGTCACATGGCTCCAAGAATGCTAGTGTGTTTTTTATCGGTTATAAGAAAGTTATTGTGGGCGATGAATATCCTTTCTATTTCCATTATAGTCTAACATTCTCTTAATTTGCATCAAGATTGTTCCAAAATTGCAGTCTTTAACTCAATTTTTCATTGACAGCACGTCTGAAGATGGTTTTGATGGTACTTTTGTCATTGCCCTTTTCTTATAGAATCTACTATAGGAAATAGTGCATCTGAGTTATTATTTACGCTTTTTTTTTTCTTACAGATTCTAGCTCTCCAGATGGTTATGAGATTGTTGAAAAAGCACATGGTATGCAATTCTTCAAAATTTTAAATAGTATTTCACTTATTATATTGTAGTGTGTAGTGCATTTTTTGTGTTAAATGGGCCTTACTAAACAAGCGCAGCCTATGCTATCCAATTTCATGAACCCCCTCATTCTTATCATCTCATTGGCTGGGATGGCTTGGTTGATCTGTTGATGGATCTCAAACAAAATTGGTTTGGTCTTATAGCTGACTTGGTTAAGTGCAATGAAAATGGCAAAAAATTGCCTCATTGGTAATGATGTTGATTCTAATATTGGAGACAATGAGCATGTCCCGAGTCACCTAAGAGGATGAAGGCAACGAAAAAAATGGGAAGAGGTGGTAGGTTTTACATAAATTCCATTTAACATTTGCATATTGCTAAAAAATTACATCATCATCGATGACTCTAAAACTAGAATTGGAGATGATGGGCATGTGCTCAAGCACTTACGAAATCCAACAAAGTGAGAATGGTATAGAATGGATGTAAATTTATGTGAAGCTAGGTGTGAAAAGGTGCCGACAAGACAAACTAATTTCATTAACTAAAATACTTTGATGCATCTGAAGTTGAAACATTTCAGTCTGGCCAAACTCGACCAATTCCGGACTCTGATTGAGTGAGTTCAATAAGTAGATATAGTTTCAATTCTAGTTTGAATCAAACTCTTCTCATTATTTTGAGCAATTGTTTCATTTCTTATTAGAATCAATCAAAATTTAGAGGGTAGATTGACAATATTTTATACTCAATCCTCTATGACTTTCATGTTTACAATTTTAGTGAAGTTTAATTTAGTGAGATAGTTTACTACTTAAATTGATAGTGTGAAAATTGAATTCCAGAAGTTTTGGCCTCATCTCATTTATTATGGCATAACTTTATCTTTTTTAATTAGAATCATATGATCTTTGTCTTAATAGATTCCTAAATCAATCATCTGCAACGTTTATGCTCTTAGATCAATTTTGCATCTACAAAATTGTGGGCTCCGAAAATTTGCGCCCGGCCTCTCCGTGGACCCTTTCTTCTTTTTTGAGTCGTCGAGGATGTTGGAGAAATTTTGTCATCCTTAATAGATTGCATATTTTGTGATCGAGCATGGCGTGTAAAATGATATATTGTCCTGAAGGTCAAAAATATCATTTTTTATAGACTAAATAACAAAATTTATAAGTTTAATTTTAATAGAGATTTTACCCCATTCCATATTTGGTTAAATGGGATTTATTTATTTTGGGGTACAGATGCCTCATGCTCCTATGGCTAATTACATCTCAAGCATTTGGTGCTTGAGAAAAATTTTAATTGAACTAGTGGTTTCATTTCTTTTGAGAATCATCAAAATATTGGTTAAAGGCTTTCATTTTAAAATTCACAAAATTCTTATTTAAATTTCTTTTTTTGTCTTTAGGAATTTCAAAGGAAGAGGGGGGGATCAATTTTGATTGGAGTTATTGGAATGAGAGACAAGGGGAGTAGGAGTACTTGATGAGGGAAAACTCAGAGGTACTCAAAACTATCATATATTGGACTTTATTTTAGAATCCAAATTTTGTTTATGTTGATCATTTTGATTTAGAATGTTGGGGCTTATTGATGAGGACATCGAACGATATCGACGAGTCTATCAGCGTAGGAATCGTAGATCGATGGCTACGATTTACAGTCTTTATTTTTGATGCATTTATGTATTGTAGTTTATTTACTAATTATGATTATACCCTTTCTTTTGAGTTTGTTTGAGTTGTAGCCCAAGCCGCATTTGAGTCATTGTTATTTTATTTTCTAGGCTTATATATTATGGCCTCTTCTATTATAATGAGATGATGATTATGAATGAAAAATTTCAAATTTTCTTGCTTGATCTTTTTGTGAGTTCTTGAGAGGAGAAATCCTAAGAGAGGGCCTTGCAACACCCGTCAACCGTCGGTGGATTTCGGGACTCACGGTTAGTACTTAGTATTTCCCTCTTCTTCCTTTCTTGGGTACCACCACTAACCACCTAGCCCAAGCCCTTGGCCGCAAACTTGAAGCCTCCAAACCCGCCCCTTTCTCTCCCTAACCCTCCACCCTTGCCACCTACCTAAGCCGCCGGCCTCCCCTCATCCACCCACCGCCAGTTTCCCCAAGCCCCCTCACCGCCGGCCTCCCCTAGCCTTCACTAGTCGCCGGCCCCTCCCTACCATTACCCATGAATTTTGAATTTCAAAATTCAAATCAATCTTAATTACTATCCTAATTTATTCCACTATTAATTTGGAAAGTTACCTCATTTGAATTCAAATTATATTTGAATTTTAAAATTTTCCCTATTAACCAACTTAAATTAGGAAACCTCTCAATTACATTAAATCTGAAATCAATTTCAGATTTAATGACAATCCCTAATTTCCCTTAATTCATATTAAATATTCCCCTTAATTCCCTCCCAAACCGCCGGCCCCATTATAGCTCAAATTGGGATAATTTTGAAATTCAAATTAATCCCTCCCCTTTCTTAGTAAAATCTAAATTTAACTTCAGATTTTCTAAACCCCTCCTTCCACCTCACTAGACCTAACCCTAGCCGCCTCCTCCCTTTTCCTTCTCCGTCCCAATTCCCCAAACCGCCGACCCCACTGTTCTCCTTCTCCTTTCCCACCGCCGGTTCCATTCAAGGCCACGAAGAATTAAGAAGCTCCTCCTAGTCCATGGATGGCAGATCCTGAAGTAGATCTCGGGTTCGTATATGATAACCAAGGAAGGACGAACATTCCTCAATCTACCTTCTTCGATTTGAATTTGAACGTCGACAACTCCGTGGAAGGCCACATTGACCGCATCAGCTTCACGTTGGCACCGGAAATTGAGGAGCACCTCCTAATCAGATCGTGGTTGATTGCGGGACGCCCACCAATCCATCCGTCGTCGCCTCGCCGGCAACCTTTCCATCAATGAAGATCTTAGGCTTCTTCTTCTTGGTGGTAATCTCTTTTCTAGTGTGGAGTATCTTCTTCCGCTAACTGCACGAGTGAATGAGTGAGAAGGTCCTCAATGTGAAACCTCTCATTATTAAATTGTGGATTTTTATTATGCTCTCATAAAAGTTACTCGTCTTTGGAGTTTGATTGAATTATCTTGTTAATATGATGTGCACTTTTTTGCCTAAGAAAGTTGAAAACTCCGAATTCATAGAATTTTTCTTTGTTGTGAATGATAACTTTATATTGGAAAGCTTTTAACAACAACTCTTCTTAATTTCTCATTAACTCCTGGTAGTTTCACATCATCTTGGTATCAGAGCATGATAGACATGCATAACATGTGCTAAAAGTCATCCTAGGGGTTTGTCTAACCATGATCTTTATTATTGCATGCATATCATCATTTAAAATATTTTAATTCTCTGTATGCTTGCTGTCCACGCATTTTCTGCACTCATTTAGTGAACATTAGGCTAGTTTCTTAAGTGTTTAGGTGTTGTCCTCAAGCTAGCAACCTTCTTAATTGCCTAGATCACTTAAGTCTCTCTTATAGCTTGCTGTCCAGTAATTTCCTGCACCATATAACGAGTCATAATGGTGTTTTCTGCTTGTAGAGTGCTGTCCCTTGCACCCAATCTTCAATAGGTATCACTTAGCGCTTCTCAATGGACCCGATAGGGCTTCAAAAGAAGTTAAATGACCTAGTTAACCTAATGGGCTCTATAACTAAAACTATGAAGAAGAAGTATGTTGACTCTCCCCACTCTAGGTATATGCCCCAGTCGGTCAATCATCTTAGTCGGAAGATTACCCACTCTGCTTATCAACCTAGTCCTGAGCCCAAACCGCAATAACCTCACTTAGAGTCACATAACCGTCTGCCCACCTTTGATGGTTCCTTGGATATTTACTACTTTAAGGAATGAGTTAGACAATTAGAAAACTATTTTGAATCTCGTGATATACTTGAGTCCCACCGTGTGAGAATTGCTAAGTCTTGTCTGAATGGTCGTGCTAGTCAATTTTGCTTGAGGTTGGAAGATCGTAAAGAGTCTCGTGGAGAATACCCTACTTACGATTGGAAAGACATGAGACGAGAACTTAGATTAAAATATATTCCTCCTACTTGTGGCTAACCATCTAATTTTAAGATTAGGTCACCCCTGTTCATCAAACTTTATGGTACAATATTCTCAAGAACCCTACACGTGAGAGTCAGTCCTACTCACCTTTTACACTCCAATATGATATCGTGACTCCTAGTCCTCACCAAGTGGTAGTTACTCAATTCCCTACCTCTGTGGTTACCCCTAAACCTAACCGACATACCACTCTCACTCACGTTGTGGCCCAAACACCTAGTGATTTTCATCTGGAACACCACCCTGCCTCTTTTGTTAGGAAAATCCGTGGACATCACTGTGGTCGAGATCACCCATCCCTTAGTAACATCATGGTTGCTGCCCCACCCTGTAGGTCTTCACCTAGCCTTGATGCTCGACCCTCTAATGGGTCTTCTGTCGGATCGGTACCATATAACTCCCCACTTGGGCCGACTCCTAGCCATCCCTGTCCACCTTGTCTGAGCATGCATCTCCCCACTTGGGCCGACTCCTAGCCATCCCTATCCACCTTGTCTGAGCACGCATCCTCTCTGCGTAGTGGATCCTGATTTACGTCACCTCGTGAGTGTCTTTATCACATTTCAATCTAATGAGAATTTTGAAGCTACCCAACCTTTGACCTCCCCAGTCTTTGACCCTGCGAGTGTAGTTTTAACAAAAAATTGCAGTACAAAGAAAAAGTCCCCCAACCCTGAAACTGAGCTTCCATTTCATAGATAATAATGATATCACTGATAATGATGATTTCGTTGAGGATGAAACTGAAGTGATTGAATTAGACTCCATGCATAACTTAAACCATGAGTTAGGAGATTTAGAATCTTTAAACATTGAGGGGTAGTGCCTCGAATTTAAGCCTAACGGAGTGCAAGAGACTTATAAATTACACCTCAAATAAGACATAGATAGCCCGACCTTTGGATTTATTGCTCTAACTGTTAGGGTTGAGATACTAAAGTATTTTCTATTAAATTGGTATCAAAACAAGTTTTTAGATCATCGGAGGTTGATTTTTTTGAACTTTTAGCGGCAAATTTTTTTTTTCATCAGGGGCTGATTTTTTTTTTAAATTTCAGTGACGAAAAAATAATGAGACCATCGGGGGATGATTTTTTTTTAAATTTCAGCGGCGAAAAAATAATGAGATCATCAGGGGTTGATTTATTTGAAATTTCATTCGGGGCTAATTTGTTTGAAAATTCAGCCGCGTAAAAATAATGAGAACATCGGAGGCTGTTTTTTTAAATTTCATCGGGGGCTGATTTTTTTTTTTTAAATTTCAACGGCATAAAAATCAGTCCCCAATGGTGTAATTCATCTAGAGGAAGAAATCCTTGCTGATTTTTGGATCAAAATCCTGAAATTTTGATGGCGGTCAAGAAGGTAGATGCTTTGGAAGAGTGTTTTGAATGAGAGATAAGCCAAATAAAAGCCATGGTGGAGGATCGAATTTCATCCGTAGAAGACAAAGTTTCCGATCTTCATTTAATGGTGAAGAAGTTATTGTAAAATCAAATCGAAACAGCGACATTGGAGGCAAATGGACCAATGAGGAGAACTACGAATTCTGATTTTCGTAGGAGGGAAGACGATGTAGAATCATTGAGGAGAAAGGAGGAAGGTATGCAGAAAGCCGTGGAAATTGGGAACAAGGAGTAAGGGGTGCTGGTTGGGAGAAAAACGAGGGAAATTATGATAGGAGTGGTGTTAATTTTGGAGAAAGGAGGGAAGAAAGTGAAGAGGAGTTTGAAGATGAACATGTAAGGGAAGATCGGGAGACGTGGGGAGAGCAAAGCACTTGGGAGAAGAGAAAATATGGAGGAATACGGGGAAACAGGGGAGAGCCAAAGATGAGGAAGCTGAAAATGCCAAATTTTGAAGGGGAGGATGCTTATGGATTGATCTACAAGGTGAAGAGGTACTTCTCCATCAATGGATTAACGAATGAGGAGAAATAAACAGCTGCAGACCTATGTTTGAAGGGGAAGGCGTTGTCATGGTTCCAGTGGAGGGACCAAAGGAGACCTATACGGAGCTAGAGAGCATTCAAGCACTGTTTATTAGAAAGTTTCCAAACTGACAGGGTAGGGGAATTTTATGAGCAGTTTTTTGCACTAGTGTAGGACGGATCAGTGGCGGTTCGAGCACCTCGCTAGTCGAGTGGATCGATTATCAAAGACTGCATTGGAGGGAAACTTTATAAAGGGGCTCAAGGTAGAGATCAAAGCGGTTGTGATAGTCATGATGCCTCGTGACTTGGGAGAGGCCATAAAGTTGGCATAGCTGGTGAAAAATCAGAAGAATTTAGAGAAGGGAACCAGAAGCAGCAGCTCAGGAGGCACATACAGGATGACGACCACCCACTTAACACCCAAGGGTCTTGCAACATAAGGATTTCGTGAGACTACTAGAGAGAAGACAATAGGATGGAGCGGGGGAAATTTCAAGAGGCTGACGGAGAAGGAGATGCAGGAGAAGAGGGCGGTTGTGTTTCAAGTATGATGAGAGGTATACTCCAGGGCATAGGTGTAGGGATCGAACTCTTCAGGTTCTCACCATCTGTGATGACGGGGAAACTGAGGAGGGAGGGGAGGGGGAAGTATAGGAGGAGATAGAGGAGAAAATGCATTTGGATCTGGTAGAGGTTTCCCTGAACTTGGTGGTAGGATTCACCATAAATCATACCATAAAGGTGAAAGGGGAAATAGGGTACAGGGAGGTGGTTGTTTTGATTGCAGTGGAGTTATCCACAATTTCATTTCCATTTTGATCGTCAACCAACTGGGAGTGAAATTGGTGGACACCGGTTGTTATGGGGTGATGATGGGTATAGGAAAGGTGAAAGGCTAGGGGATCTGAAGAGGAGTGATGTTGACCATCCAGGGGATTTAGGTGAGGGAGAAATTTTTCCCATTGGAGTTAGGAATTACATATGTCATCTTTGGGATGAAGTGGCTGTAGACATTGGGGAACACCAAGGTCAATTGGGGAGCACTCACGATGGAGTTGAGGGTGGATGGAAGAAAGGTGGTGATCAGGGGAGATGCAAGGCTATCCAAAGCCATGGTGTCACTCAAAACTATGTTGCGAAATATCTAAGAGGCAGGGGAAGGTTATTTGGAGCTGCACAGATTGTAGGGAGTTAGATTGGAGGAGGGAGGAGGCATACCTCTCTCCATACAATCGTTGATCCAGCAATTCTAGGTTTTTCAACTGCCTCAGGGATTACCTGCACCGAGGGAGCATGAGCATGCTATCACCTTGAGGGAAGGTGTGTCACCCTTCAGCGTCAAACGCTACAGATATCCTCAATTTCAGAAGGATGAGATTGAGAAGTTAATTAGAGAAATGTTGAAGGTAGGAATTTTCAAAACTACTATCAGTCCTTTTTCTAGTCCAGTGTTACTAGTGAAAAAAAAAAGATGATAGCTGGAGGTTTTGTGTGAATTACATGGCGATCAATAAGAAAACTGTGCCAGACAAGTTTCATATACCATTGATTGATGAACTGTTGGATGAATTAAGTGGAGCAGTAATGTTCACCAAGATAGGTCTGAAATCAGGATATCATCAGATAAGAATGCCGAAGGAAGATGTGCCAAAAACTGCCTTTAGGACTCACGAGGGGCATTATGAGTTCCTGGTGATGCCTTTTGGCCTCACTAATGCTCCAGTCACATTTGAGTCACTCATGAACAAGGTCTTCAGGCCCTATCTTAGGTGATTTGTTTTGATGTTCTTTGATGACATCCTAGTTTATAGCAGGACAGAGGAACATTGGGAGCACTTGAGGGTGTTAGGAGTATTGCAAGAACATTAGCTGAAGGCCAACCTGAAGAAGTGCTGTTTAACCCTAACAAGTGTGGAGTATTTGGGCTATATTGTGTTCAAAGAAGGGATGGTAGCAGATCAGTCAAAATTTGAGGCTATGTTGAGATGACCATTACCAAAGAATCTGAGGGAGCTGAGAGGATTCTTAAGGCTGACGGGATACTACAAGAGATTCATGAAAGGGTACAACACCATAACAGGGCCACTAACAGAGCAGTTGAAGAAGGATATTAAATTAGTAGGTATATGTAAATTATTTTAAATAGAATACTATTAATGAATCAATAATACTTTATGTTTAATAATGGTCTCTACAATTGAATATTTATTTATAAATTTGAATAATAATAGTAATTATTGATTAAAAAATATTTTATTAATTAATAAATTTATCTCATCGGTTAGGATCATTACTCAAAATATATCAAAGTTGACTTGATTTGAACTTGTCTGAAGTCACCTTATGTTGCTTTGACCGTGTTCTTTGTCATGTTTCTTTGGTAAGCTATTGGTTGCAACCAAATTTAAATCAAGTCTATCCTGAACTTAACTAGATCTTATATGTTCATCTTAACAAAATTATGATTGACTGAGGAAGCTGTAGTTAATCTTCATATTCGTCTTTGCCTTTTTTTGTGCACTTTACCCCCCCTACCCCCCTTTATAAGCTGTGCCATAATCCAAAGGCGATTCTCTGTTTCTTAGTTGATAATGTAAAAATAATTTTTGATAAATGTGATACATATTTATATCTGTCCTGCAAACGCGCCTCCATTGTTGTTTGATGCTTCCTAAAGGATTCATTCTGTACTGTCCAATTATAAATTTTTATTTATATTTAATTAATATTCACTAATTCGATGATGGTGTCCTCGTTGGTTTGATTTATTGATATTATTTTTTTAAGCTTACAGTTTCAAGATTTAGCTCAAGTTTCTTAATTTTCTCTCCTTATAATTTGAATATAGTTTCATTAATTGTGCGCTTCTTATTTTGTTTTAGTTTATATTTTTAAATGCTAAAATTACTTTCTTTCCATATCCAGTGACACTATTTAGTCATATTTTCATGTAAGGTATTCAAACTTATCTGCTATTTTTTTTTTTTCTAATTAATTCCAAGGCAAGCCTTCTAAGAACAAGCAGGACAAATCAAATGCTGAGAAAGCTACTGCGGGTAAGAAAGAGTATGTCAAAGTTAATATAAACGCGACGGATAAATATCTTGACGATGATAGTGATGAGGATGAGGATGAGGATGAGGATGAGGATGACGATGATTCTGAAGAAGATTCTAATAAAACTGAGGTTGCTGTCCCTTTTCTGCTTCTGCTACTACTGAATGATATTTCTCCCATTTCCTTGTGTTACATGTGGTCTTTTTCAGTTCTCTTTACCCTTTGTGGGTATATTTTGGTCGAATATCCAATTCAAACCTTAATTTTGGATTGTTTTATAATTCTTGTTACTAGCGACCGTTTCCAGTTGACATTATAAATATCATGGATGGTCTTCTTTTTCACAGGACATTGTCGACTCATCAGGAGATAGTTCAGAAGAAGAAAGGGATGATAGCTCTGAGGACGAGAGTACTCCAGAGATGGTATTTGTTGCGTCAAATATTTGGATTTCTTTTGTTGCTAAAACTACTAATTTTTGGTTGATGTTTCTTTAGGTTGTAGTTGACAAGAGAAGGAAATTTGATTCTGCTTCAAAATCTCCTATTCGTGAAAAAAAGGCTAAAGTTGTGACTCCAGTTGAAAACAATAAAATAGGTTTTTTTTCTTCTGAAACTCTTCTCATCTAAAATGAGATTTCTATCGTATGTCAGGTTTTTAATGGATAAAACCTCCATGCAGGCGGCGATGGAAAGAAAGCACACGTTCATGTGGCAACTCCCCACCCAGCTAAGCAAGGTGGGAAGCCTCAGCAGTCTTCAAAATCTAGCGGATCAGCAACTTTCAAATCCCGCAACAGGTCTTCTTCTATTGCCTTTATATTGTTAGTATCCTATGTTGCACCGATACGGATACGACGATACGGATATAACAGGATACAGATACGGGACATGTCAATTCTTAAAAATATAGGATACGGGTACGGCGCGAACATGACATTATAATTTATAAATCATACATAAAAATTAAGAAAATAATCAAAACAAAATATTTGAAATTACAAAAAAAAAAATGAAAGTAACATCATTTGTAGCCTTGTAGCTTATAATATCAAAATAAAAATAAGCATTAAATGTCTAGTACAACAACAAAAGCATAAACATAAATTATCTAGTACATGAAGTTTCAACTATTCAATAGAAGGAATGCTATAATTATCTTCTTTAGTGGTTTGTCTTTGAACTTCTATTTCATTTTCAATAAATATCATATTTTCTAATATAGGGCCATCAACTGAAAGATTAGCAATTTCTAATATTCACATATCATCAAGAGACTCAAATCCATCTCGAAAATGAGAGAACCTCGCTCGTTAGGTCTTTTTTTTGGATTTTTTTTTTCAACGGACATGCGTATCGGATGTGTCCTTTTAAAATTAAATAGTATTTTAATTGGATACGGCAAAGCAGTATCCGACACGTATCGGTGCCGTATCAAAGACGTATCCGTATATCAATGTATCGCATACAACACACCTTCATAAATAGGTGTATCGGTGCAACATAGTTAGTATCCTAAAGGGATTGGAAATTTAAAATTTAATGTATTTTGCTTTCATAATGCGCTTGTAGGACTTTCAATTCTGAGAATGCTTTTCAAGCACACAGGAAATCCAAGCATGTTTGTGCAGCCAAATGAATAATCGGCGAATAAATTCTCACCTTTTTGTTTTTTCTGATTCTCGGATTATAGACCTTGATGCTTTTTGGCTGTGAGAGGAAACCGTTTTTTGTGGTGATGAAGCATTTACTTCAGGATGTCATGGCTGGGAATGCTTGGGATTTTTAGGTTTTATATAGTTTCTATGGTTTTGGTCTGGCTTTGGCCCTTTGATAATTGATTTGGTTTTATTTTGTGAAAATGATACTAAATTCATCATTTGATTGGTTATACTTAGAAGGCGCATTTGATTTTGAACTCCTATAGCTCCCTTACAATACTGTCACACATGTTTATTGGCTTTTGCTTTTTCAAAATGATATCAGATCCCATTTGATTCGGTGTTCCATAAATTAAGGTTTCATTTGGGACAGCTTTCTTATTGCTTTCTAAAACGGTTTTTTAGTATAAAAGTTTTTTTATACTAGAAAGCGGCTTTTAGAAAGCAGCAAAAAAAATTGTCCCAAACGAAATCTAAAATTAATTTTGAGCTCCCGAATCCCTTCCCTCGATATTTGTCTTAATTATATTGATTTGATTTTGAATACAAAATGAGTGACAATTTAGAAGAGCCTTTTAACTTGTTTGCATTGATTTTGAGTTGAATTTTATTCAAGTTTGGTCCAATCATTTTATCTGAGACTTATATATATCACAAACAACTACATCATCAATGCCCTCAGCAGTATATAATAAACTAATTACCTCCCCTGCAGTGCTTTCATCTCACTAAGGTTGTGTGGGACGGCTTTCTTATTGCTTTTTAAAATAGCATTCTAGTATAAAAAATTTAATTTTTATAGTACGAAAGATGTCCCAAATGGAACCTAACTAAAATATTAGATTGAGTTTGGAAGATGGAATCAAATATTAGATCATAAGGACATATTTCATAGAATTGAAGTCTGTTCGATAGGAAATCTAATTTCCTTCATAAATCAATAATCGATTTTGAGGATTAGAAATTCTTCCATTGGCCACCAATATTAATTTGATTGTTCATATTGAGAAATTAAGGACATTGCAGGGTTGCAGCTGTTACTGACCTTAACCATTTAAAGAAGAATACTGCCACTTTTTTTTGACAGTTGATACAATTAATGCAAACTTACACACTTCACATTCCTTCGAATCTAAGATCTATTAGTTCCTAGTTAAAGTTCTCACTCAATAGATCAAAATAAGCTAAATATACCCAACTTTTTTTAGATCATGTTTAGTTAACCATTTATTACTTATTTATCGTGTTTAGCTAATTTTTTTTCCCCTAAGAACATTAGGTGGTTCATGTTGGAGAGTTCTTTTGTTTTTGAACTTTTTTTTCAAACATTTATGATGTTCAAATTATAAATATTCTTTATATACAATTCTCAAGCCATTAGCATTTGAGATATAGCGACATTGTGGGGGTAGTTTGGTGTTGGTGAGCAATTAGTAGCTTTGGGGAGATTTATAGCGGTCCATGAATGAATGTTATATATATACATAAGATTTGAACCCAAAAACACTTAGCTATGTTATATATATATATATATATGTTTTTAATAAGCTCTTTGCTAAAAATGCCTAATTTATTGTTAAGCATTTTACGAATGTTCAGTAACATACAATAGTTAATGTTAATGACAATTTTGAACAATTTGTACATCTTAATTGCATATATTACCAGAAATGTAATATATTATTGCACCTTAACATCACATCATTTCTAATAATTTAATACTATGAAAATGTTCAATTTCCTCTTCCAACAAATTTTGATAGCTATAAGAATTTTTATACAAATAAATACATCATTGAAATATAAAAATAATATTTTTATTAGATTTGAGCCTCTTGATTAGATCATGACATTGATTGATAGAAAAAAAAAAAAGCTTTGATGAGAAGAGATTGAGAGAGGATTGCTTGGGCCTTGGATAGGAAGGATTATAGTTTTCAAATATGCTTCTTGATTAAACAATGAGCATTCAAGAAGAGATCCATACTTTTCAACAACTATAATATTTAGGCTTCATTTGAGAAAATTTTTTTGATGCTTTCTTAATCAACTTCTATATAAAAATTTCTTGAATTAGAAAATTTTATACTATAAACATGCTTTATAAAACAGTAAGAAAGTTTGTTTCAAACAAAGCCTTAAAAGATCTCACAAACTTCTCCTCAAAGTAAAAGAGATAGAAGAGATTTGATCATTCTTCATTTCTCCCTATAATTTTGAGAGTTTTGTTACAAGTAATACAAATAATTATAATTTGATTAGTTATATGTTAATTAGCTCCTCACAAGTTTTTCTTTCGCTCGCAAAAATGAGAATAATCTTACCGACCAAGAATCATGATCAAAATTTGTTTATTTTATTGTTTCACCTCTTTTTTCACTTGGCCGACCTAACTATGGTTTCTTATTAAAGGGCATTGCACCTCCTAGTTAAGCTTATCAAATGTGCTTTTATAGTTATGAAATCAATTAAGTTGTATTTTCTATTATTTTTATAAAATTAAGGTTATCTTTGAGACAACTTTCATAATATTTTTGAAAACAGTTTTTCGTACAAAAATTTTAAATTCAAGAATTTTTTGTTATAAAAAACTGTTTTAAAACAAAAGAAAAAAAACCGTCCCATACGAAGTCTAAATTTGATGATCACTATGTCGAGCAATGTTATGGCCTAATTTATCTATTTCCTAATAGTTCGATTGGAATTTTTATTTTTGTTTGAGTTTTGATTGGCTGGTCTTACCTCCATAAAATATGCAGTTATATTATTACACTCTTTGATAAGAATCAATTAATTTTATTTGTAATATAAAATAATTCTTAAAAAATATGTGAATTCGTAGCTCATGATGCGAGATATATGAATATTCTTGCAACAAAAATTTTCTCTAGATAAAGATAAATCTCTATTAAAAATTGAGATGTATTATTGAATATGGAAAAAAGGTAATTAATCTTTTTTTTTTAATGAAGATTTATTTTTATCATAAATTAATAAATTTTAAAATGAAAAAAAATACTTTTAGATCAACTAATTAATTAAGATTAACTTTCAATCTGATTTTTTGATAATTTTTATCATTAATTTTCAAATTAGCACCGCTTGAAAATTATCTGCCTTCCGGCTTTAATCCTTCTTTTCTTCCTCCGTGCACGGCGTCCACCCAAAGCCCTCTAGTCTCAACCAGCTTCTGGCCCTCAAGGTCCCCCATATCAAGAAAGGAAAACCCTACATTTCCCCCCTCAATCCGATCCGTTCCAATGGCGGCAATGGCAGCAACCACGGCTTCTCTCACCGCGTCAAAACTCCTCCGCTTCCCATCCACTTCACTCGCCTCGGCAGCTCGCTTTCAATCCCTGACCCTCCCAAGACGCCTCCTTTCCCTTTCCAAGCCCCTCCGATCTGGCCGGGGCCTTCGTTTCATCGCATCTGCCTCCCCATCCATCGCCACCGCTTCCATCTCCGTCGGCGACAAGCTACCTGATGCTACCCTGTCGTACCTGGACTCCGAAGACAAGGTTCAGACTGTCTCCATTTCCGACCTCACCAAGGGAAAAAAAGCTGTTTTGTTCGCCGTTCCGGGAGCCTTCACGCCAACTTGTTCACTGAAGCATGTCCCTGGCTTTGTCGAGAAGGCCGGGGAGCTGCGCGCCAAGGGCGTGGACACCATCGCTTGTGTCTCTGTCAACGATGCCTTTGTGATGAAGGCTTGGAAGGAGAATCTTAAGATTGGTGACGAGGTGCTGCTCCTATCTGATGGCAACGGGGAGTTTACTCGGGCCCTCGGTGTCGAACTTGATCTCAGGGACAAACCAGTTGGACTTGGCGTTAGGTCAAGGCGCTATTCCTTGCTGGCGGAGGATGGGGTGGTTAAGCTGCTAAACCTGGAAGAAGGTGGTGCTTTTACTATTAGCAGCGCGGATGACATTCTCAATGCCCTCTGAGTGTTTTTCTTCCTTTCTCTGCTTCATTAGCCCTGGCTAGATCACGCTTCTTGAGTAAGGATATGTTCGAAAACAGATGAATTTGCCTTTGGATTTGGGTTTCATCCTTTGATCCATCCATCTGTTGCATGCTTACAATATGTTCGTTTGAATTCCCTATAGGTTTTGAAAGAACTAATCCCAACAAAACTTGCTCTTTTTATTTGATAATGCCCTTAATTAAGTTTTTTTCTTGATGAGCCATGCCTGGTGGCCTTTAGTTATTAAATTTCGTTTAATCTTGGTGATGCTTTCCATTTTCTTTTTGGTCATAGTTACTTGCTTTCTTAAGATTTGTATCGGGTAGTAATATAAATACTCTTTTCAAGATAGGTGTGTTAAAATTCAATTTCACCGCTATCATTATTGTCATTCTTATTCGGACTATTTGATTTATTTCTTCTTAAAACAGCTTTTTGGTACTAGAAAGCTGCTTCCAAGAAGTCCCAAATGAAGCCTTAGGCTTAATGAACTTAATGCATGCTCCTACGTTTTCATTCCTGTGGTTTGTGCTCTTGCAAAACTTTTTTTGCCCAACTTCTAAAGATTTTAACTTTGTTTAAACTTTTTTTGTATTATACAGTCGTTGATCATTTTATATCATTACAATCATTTAACTTTTGTTTTTAGAAATCCATGGTATCACCATTTTGATTTATGTGAGAAATATGAGAACAAAGCATTGTTTTTAATACCTGTGGGCTCCGAAAAATTCCAATTTTTAGGATGTGTGATCCCGGGAGAATTTTTAGAAGGCAGATTGGGTTTTATAGATAAGACACTACCCAGAGATTTCGTCCTCATTTAGTGAGGACTTTTTTGATCTGAGTTCTGGTTTCCTATAGGCGCAAGCCCCTATAGTTAATTACCCCTCCCGATAACGAGAGAGAACTTTCGATTAAGGCTAGTCGTTAAGGATGTCACATAGGTTATGAACCTATCGTATAATAGGATGAAGCGTCGTGAGGTGGGACCGGCAGAGGAGATCGCGTCGTTCCGTTTGGGTATGTCGGTGGAATGGTTACAGTCAACAATACCAATGTCCTCTATGGATTCATAATCATGGGAACCATATTTGTAGAGCAGTTTGCCCATTTTTTCTGAGATTTGTGGTGTCTGTATTTCATATCAAACAATACAATTTAATACTGCCAAATGAGACCTAAAGGACCTTAGTAATCTGGTTTGCTATTTTAAAGTATTTCTATGCTCATGTTTACCATATTGGCTCCCTATTTCCAAGGATTGGCTGCTCCTAATAGAAGGCCCCTTAGGATGCCCGCAACCTCATGCTCTAGGTCTCTGCTGGTGGTCTCCCAATAGAGAGATTATTTTGTACATACACCGGACACAGCTTACCGTCCAGAGGCAAATCAGGTGCAACCACGTCATCCAGTACCGAACAGTACTGAGCCGTGGTATCAAGTAGGGGGTGATGTGGCGCATTTTAATTGGGCTCAGGACGACATTTGGTGTCCGCACGTAATAATTCATCCTCCCAATATCAGGACTCTCCCTCATGAATCTTAAATTATCCATCTTTTTTAAACTTGTAGCGTATTTATTTAATATAAAATGGTACAACACAATAATACGAAATTGACTTGGGGAAACTTGGCAATCTGATTAGCTGTTTTATCTCCCTTCCTGCTCATATTCACACTATTTGTTCCTCATTCCCAAAATCTTGAACCTGCAAATGTTTTCAAGGGATAGACCTAATAGCTATAGGGCTGCAATTACAGAATTCTGTTTTTGTAGAATGTTTGATTAAGAGATCTGGCAGCAGTGAGGCCATGGTATGCTAAAAGATGTGAGCAATCATGTTTGGAAATCACTACTAAATCCATTCATTATTTAACTGTCATACTTTTGGTTCAAGGCTCCGAGCATAAGTGATGGTGATATAAGTGCGAGTTAAGATACGAAGGTATTGAGCAAAAGTGTTAAAATTTAGTTCCTGGTGCATTATTTTACTTGCCAAATATGGTATATGGAAATTGCTAGAAGACATGGAATATAACATGTCAGCAACATATTGACAGAAGAATCTTCAATTTTTTGTTTATATTCTGATGAAACTTTGCTAAGTATGCATATTTACTAGCCGTATTGTTGTTTCTTTTACTTCTAAGTTATTTAAATAGCTGAAGTGCATCATCCACTTCAAAGATGACCTGCTTTTGGCTTGCATACTTTCTGCTGAACGGAGGAAATTTGCTAGCAGGAACCTAAACCATGATAATGATTTTCCATATCTGTTAGTTTAGAAGATATTTGATAAGATAATTTCAGGAGTTCTCACTGTATTCTCTGTTCATCTTTTCTATTTTTTGCAATCATTCCTATTTTGTCTCTTCTTCCTACCAGAACATACATGTAGAATCAGGTTGAATGAGATGTGGAGAGTCTAGATGATGCTTAAATCTAACATAAGCTAAAACAAAAAAAAAAGTAATAATAGATTTTCAATTTGTTGAACATACATTATAGAATGCCATTCTTTTTGTCTTCAAACTATTGTGTTGTTTGGCTACAAGTAGGATTTAATATAAGTAAGATTTAATAAATCCTATAAATCTTGATTTAATAAAACCCAACTTGAAAATTTTTTGGCATGACAAGCATTAGATCTACTAATTAAATCATAGAAAGTTGTTTTATTTTGTTTTAATATTGAAAGATTTAATTGATTATCATATTTAATTTGAAACGTAAATCGATACCATGATTTGATGTGAAGCCTAAATTGAGGACAAATTTTGTAATGGGGGTGTTTGGTTGCAAGTATTAGGAGTATAAAGTAAAAGAAATGCATGGGTTGTAATATTTTATTGTTTGATTTGAAATAAATTGTATGCTAAATATTTGTGTAAAGTATTACACCAGAATGCTTATTTACATGAATTTAGAATTCACTCAAATTAGGCTAATTCTAAATGCAAGCAAAACTCACAAATCATGACCTCAGCTTCATCAACAGCAACCACTACTTATTGTTGTTGCACATCACATGCCGCTGCTCACTCGTCGGAGTTGCTTGCCCATCTTATCCTCTCGTTCATTGTCGCAACCCATCCACCACCACCCCAAATGTCACCTCTACCTGCCCTTTGCTGCAAGCTTCAACCCCCATCATCTACCCCTTGCCATCCTTGGCTACGACTCACCATTATTCATCTTATTTTAATGTATTTGAAATATATCATTGTAAAAATAAAAGGCTTTTCAATGCATTTGATTTGCATGCAACAAAACAACTCATGTATTTCTAAAATATATACATTCCAACTACTCTATATTGATAAAATGCATGGTCCCTATATATGATTAGTTTTATTTTTCAAGAATGAGGTTCTTTCAAAACTTATAGACTTTAGCTCTTTGAGGCTAAATTTACGTCTCAATGCTTTTACTTCAACTCCATCAAGATTCGCCTAGATGACAAGACACTTGTGATGTGAAGAGCTTTGGTTGCAATGGGTTCATTCTCATCCTCCAGCATTAGCATCTTATCTAGTTGTTGTCAATGTTCAACAAGGTTGAATTCATTTTGCTGTTATGAGTTAGTTAATCATGTTGCGAAGGTGGCAACATTCCCTTATGTTGTGACCATAATCTTTGTGGATGATGCAAAATTTATTATGGTCATGTATGTGCAACGGAAAATGCTCTGGAGGTGGCTATGCTTAGTAGAATCTTAAAGGGATTATGTGAGAGATTTTGTTGTGATAATATTTCAACATAAAATTACAACATCCCATGATGTCTATGCACGACAAATGGCTCCTATTTATATGTGAGGGCTAAGATCTGTGGAATAAAATAGGCTAAATAGTGTGATTATATAGAAAATGCATTACCTGGACTCAGTGTAACTAGCTGTGTAATCGACTACTAGTTGAGAACTTCTAGGCGAGTTTTGGATTGAGAGTGAATATTGGTGAGTTCTATCAAGTACTCATAGTTACTTGATGAGTACTTACGGAGAGTAGCCTTGTTCTTTGTTTGAATAGCATTGTTCATGAATTCTGGTCGAATTTAGTGGCTCAATACCGAGCATTGAGCAAGTTCTAATGCTCAGGAGACTTTATGAAATCTACCATTTGGTGATTTGAAGCTTATGAGTTCAGAGTTGGAGGCAGTTCAAATCGCTTCACATTCAACAGTTTTTTGAACCTGTTTAAGGCTTAGTTTGGGACGACTTTTTTGTTGCTTCTTAAAGCAGTTTTTAAGTAAAAAATAAAAATTTTTATACTAAAAAACTGCTTTAAGAAGCAACCAAAAAATTGTCTCAAATGAAATCTAAGTTTTTTAGTGAGACTTGATTTAACTGACTCGGGCGACGAGTTGTGCAGATTTATTCACACTCATACCAAAATTTAGTAGGGATATATCATTAAAAGTTATCTTAATCCGGCGCAAATTTTCAGAAATTATAAAAAATTACAATCGGGATCATCCAAATTCTGATTTCAGCAAGCTTATTGTCAAATTGAACATCTCAAAGAGATGAACCTAACGAAACCAAATTCGAGTCCAAATGAGTTCAAATCAAATGACCAAAGCATAGTTGAAAGGTTCAAAGCATAAATTGGAAGACCAAATGATATACAAATACAGCATGTTTAAAGTCAAATTGAGCAGCTCGCCGTGACTAATCCAACGAGCCCAAAATCGATGAATTCTAACACCTCTAAAGCATTTAATTGCTTAATAAACACTCCATGATCAACATGTCGTTATGAGCTGTCTGATAGAACACTCCCAATTTGCTCACGATCTTCTCTTTATTTATTAGTCAGAACACTCCCATAAAACTATAAATAGCTCTTTATTCTTCATATGAGAGGGGGGAGGAAGAAGAGAAGAGCTATAGAGCTTGAAGAATGTTGGAGCTCCACCCTAGCACCACCGCCGACGAATTTGTGTCACCAGGTCGCCACTTATGAACCTTTGGCCGACCATAACCCTCATATATCCATATGGAAGCCACTAACAAGCCTTCTTTTGACCTCTGTTCGCCTGGTAAAATCCGTTCAACCATCATTGCTCGACTACGGTTCTTCCGACCACCTTCACCTGACTACAATCCTCCCGACCTCCATCGCTCATCAACTACGATCCTTCTGACCACCGTTGCTCAACTACGATCCTCTCTACCTCCGTCGCCCGCCAAGTGTGGTCCTTCCAACCCTCATCGT